TTAGGGTTTAGGGTCTAGGGTATATCTATATTAGCAACCAGTGATGGAATAGCATGTGTTATAGGGTTCAGGGTAGATCTATATTAGCGACTACAGATGAAAGAACAAGTATAGCAACAATGATAAATAAGGGGTCTAGAGGTTGGGCGTGGGAGAGCTTCAGAAGAGAGAAGTTTGAATAACCTAAACNNAACCCTAAACCCTAAACCGAACCCCTCAACCCTCCTGCCCTGCCCTCCCCTTACCTTTTTCCAGTGTCACTAAAATTTCATATCTAGGATCCAAATAAAGTAGGCCAGAACAGGAACCACTTTGGAGACGATATATGGGTGGTTGTCAAAATTAGGGTCCCTTTTTTGGTCCCTTATCAGAATACGGCAAATATTATTTAGGGTACCCCAAAAGGGACCATGATTTTGACAACTACCCATACAGGTACATCCTAAAACCTCCAGCCGAAGCCATGAAGATTAAGAAATCCATGAATCGGTAGACTGCGGCATTGAGAGGTGGACCTCCTCCGGCTCTTGAAATCCATTCGACCCAGCGTTGCCGAAGACGAGGCGCAGCAGAGTTTTGGGTCTCGGGGTTTCATCTAGGAACCTGATTAAGAAAATCTGGGTCTTTCTGAGGCCACTTGAGCTCTAAACCCAGGGCTCCGTCTATGAAACCTACTAGCTTGAGGCCCTTTGAGCTCTGAACCCAGGGCTCTGTCTATGAAACCTACTATCTTGAGGACCTTTGAGCTCTAAACCCAGGGCTTTGTCTATGAAACCTTCTATCTTCCCTAAACCCTAAACCCAAAACCCCATTTTGAGGTTCTATAAGGCCAGGATTTCGTACGCAGGTTCCTACATTCCAACAGGGACCTGTGCGCGATTATGAGGGTTTAGGGTTTAGGGTTTAGGGCTTAGGGTTTAAAGATTTACAGGAATTCCTCGTTAGGCGAACCCAACACTCTGCAAAAAGTGTTTGTTTTTGCATTTGTTTAGTGTACTGTTATGGGGGATGCTTCCTTAAATTACGAGGAATTCCTATAAAGGAAGGAACCCTGCGTTCATGCATCAGGGTTTTTCCATCGTAAACCCTAAACCCCAAACCCTAAACCCTATAAGCCTCAAAAGCCCTATAAACCCTAAACCCTATAAGACCTATCAGCCCTAATCCCTATAAGCCCTATAAGCCGTATAAACCTTAAACCCTAAACCTTTAAGCCCTATAAACCCGAAATTCTAAACCCCAAACCCTAAACCCTATAATCCTATAGACCCTATAAACCCTATAAAGCCTAAGCACTATAAGCCCTACAGGCCCTATAAAACCTAAGCCCTAAAAGCCCTCTAAACCCTAAACCCTAAAAGCCCCATAAACCCTATTAGCCCTAAAAGCCCTTAACCCTGAACCCAAGAAAAGACCTTAAACCCTAAATTCTAAACCCAAAACCCTAAAGCCTATAACCCCTAAGCCCAAAACCCTATAATCCCTAAACCCTACATTCAGGGGCATTCTGATCCGAGGTTGGAACTTAGAGGTTCCACAGCTTCGGGCTTCAGCTCTTTGTCTTTGGGGGGCTTCGGGCACCGGGCTGGAGGTTTGGGGTTTGGGGTGTATAGGGCTTTTAGGGTTCAGAGTTTGGGGTTTAGGGTCTATAGGGTTTAGGGTTTGGGGTTTAGGGTTTATGGGGTTTAGAGTTAAAGGTTTGGGGTTTAGGGTTTAGGGTTTATGGGGTTTAGAGTTTAGGGTTTGAGGTTTAGGGTTTTGGGTTTAGGGCTTTGGGTTTAGGGTTCAGGGTTTATAGGGTTTATAGGATTTTGAGTTTGGGCTTTAGGGTTTAGGGTTTAGAGTTTAGGTGGGGATTTCACTTCACTTGTCTCGTGCAATTTGGAGGATCCGTAGAGCCGAAAAGGCCTCAGCGCTGTACTGCTGAGTGGTCTTAGTTCCCCAGGGTCCTTTAAAGGTTCCTTTAAAGGGTTCCTGTAAGGCTTTGTAGTTTTCAGAATCCTCTGAAGGGTTCGTGAAATAGAGGGATCTTTGGAGGATACTTAACATAGTTCCCCAATACCCAACCCTTAAACTTGCTGGGTTCTTATACTCTAGTTGTCATCTGGAAGTTTAACATGTTGTTTGCCTGGCTTATTGGGAAAGTAGGTGGTGGTGCATAGGCACCAGGGTTTAGGGCTTAGCATCGGGTTTATAGGGTTTAGGGTTTAGGGTTTAGGGTTTAGGGTTTAGGGCTTAGGGTGCAACCTACATTATAAGCTTGCCGACGGCCATCTAGCCATGAAGACTCGCAAACCCCAGGGCTCCAGTTAGTATAGAAGCCTAAATAATTACCAATACTATTTTTTTTTTCGGTGGTGTCCTTCTTATAATTCTAGTATAATATAACCCCCCAAACACTCTTCTAATCATCAAGGCACCTATATTACCTAAATAGTAGGGTGCGAGCCACGCAATATGGCGTACCCCAGTTCGTACCCCAGTTCCCCATCATGTAAGCCCAAGGGATACTGAGGAAACCCCAATGTAAACCGCACGCTAGGATCCTCAAGATGAACGCCCCTAGACCCATACCCTAAACCCTGAACCCCAGAATCTTTAAACGAAGCCCTATAGTCCCAAACCCTAAGCCCAAACTCTAAGCCCCAAACTCTAAGCCCCAAACTCTAAGCCCCAAACCCTTAGGCCCGAACTCTAAACCCCAAACTCTTAATCCCAGAGTCTGCCACAGGAAGAGGAAGAGGCAGAAGACATGGCGGGCGCCATTCGGCAGCTGACGCTGGGATGCATTGCACTCCGGGATGCTTTAATAAGGGCTCCTCTTCGGATCCCTCGGTGGGCTCCTTTAATGGATCCTTTATAGGGTTCCGTTCGGGCTTCCTTTGAGGGTTCCTTTAAGGATTCCTTTTGGGATTCCTTTGAAGGCTTTGTTACGATCCCTTCAAGGGTTCCTTTGGGGATCCCTTCAGGTGGCACTTTGAGAATTTCACGTATGGTTTTTTAGAGGTCCCTATTCATGATTAATTTCTAAGGGTTCTATACTGGGTTCAAGGCTTTGGGTTTGCGGTCTAGGGTACCTTTAGATTAGAGGTTTCTTCAAAGGACCCTGACAATAAAATTCAGTTACCAGCGTGTTTTCCCCTGCAAAACCTGTGTGCTACCCTAGCAATCCTCATCACACCTTTCAAGCCCCATCTAAAGAAAATACACTAAAACCCCCTGCTCCGTCACCGGCTGCATTTACAAACCCCTGCGGCCACTTCGACTTCGAAATCGATGAGGAGCTTTGAACTCAAACCCCAAAGCCAGTCCAAACCCCAGACCCTACTTAAAGGAACCCTGAACGCCTTAAGGCACCTAACGCCTCAGGCTCTCGCGCATCGCCGGGCCTTCCGCTCTGGTCTGCACCAAGACGGAGGCCTCGGAAGCTCTCGTAGTAGGAGGCGTTTACTGTTTTTTTCTGGGATTTTCATAGGGTTTTTACGGGTTTATGATCAAGTGGCTTCAAGTGGCTCTTAGTAGTCGCTTTGAGATTTGTGGATTGGTTTTAGGGTGAACTGTGTGGGTTTCATAGGGTGTCATAGCAGGCTTCATAAGGGCTTATCGAGTATTATAAGTGCTTCTGAGTGGCTTTATAGTTAAGCGTTTAGTTTTTTGGTTCAGGTTTTCATGTTTGAGGGTCCTCGAAAGGGTTTCTGGAAGTGTTCCGCACATGCCATAATGCTATAAAGGTTTAGGCTTTGGGGTTTAGGGCTTAGGGTTCGGGGTTTAGGGTTCCTGAAATACTTGGGAGGAGCTCTTGTTTGGAGGTGGGGCTGGTATCAAGTTTTAGAGATTTGACTGTGGACTGAGGTGTTGAAGCAAGTAACTCTTGGCTTTGGGTTTAAGTTGTTAGCTTCGGGTGTTAATTGTTCAGGCTTCTGAACCCACAAGACCCTATAAGACCCTGTCCTATCCCCCAAACCCTCTGCGACTGTTACTGCTGCTATTATATACTGGCACGATGATGATTACTGTTACCATGAAGTAGTGTTTCCATTAAAACACCCTAAACCCTAAACCCCGAAGCCTTGAATAGCACTACTGGTAAATTTCCGATACACGAAATTTGTAAAGACAATACAAGTAGTGTAAGTAGTGTATGATGGGTCGAGACCGTCTATGTTGTCCAAGGCTTCTTTGCCATTTGCACTCAGAGTTCTTCCCACTGTCCTCAGCAGGCGCCTGAATAATTCCCTATACTATTCTTTCACTAGGTTCCTCATTAAGCCTATAGCATTGAAATACCCCTATAGATACATAAACCTATAGCATTAATGTACTCCTCCGCAGTAGGGTAGGTAACCCAACCGTTCTAGGGGTACTATAATCCCTAAACCCTAAACCGAATCCCTATAATCCCTAAACCCTAAACCCTAAACACTAAACCGAATCCCGATAACCCCTAAACCCTAAACCCTAAAGCCAAGCCCTGTCATTCACTATAACCCCCAAAGGTCCCTAGCATGCTGGACTAGTTAGCTCAGATCCTGGTTCTGCGCAGTAACTTAGTAGTAGAGTAGGAAGCCTTTACACTTTTTGGGGTACTATGATCCCTTTATACCCTAAACCCCAAACCCGTAGGAAGCCCCTAAAGCCCTAAATGTTGCGTAGTCCGCAAGGTTAACCTTTAGTTCCCCATGATACTGGATAAGTAGGTTAAGGCCCCTATCTTAGCCGGGCCTTCTGGCGAAAGGTTCGGGAGTTCTTGCGTGGTCTCTGTGGCGTTGTGGCAGAAGACAAGGACCTGGCTTTAGGGTTCAGGGTTTAGGGTTCAGGGTTCAGGGTTCAAGGTTCAGGGCTTAGGATTGAGGGAGTTACGGGGGCTATGGTTTAGGGTTTAGGGTTCAAGGTTCAGGGTTTAGGATTGAGGGAGTTACGGGGGTTAGGGTTTAGGGTTTAGGGTTTTGGGGTTTAGGGTTTAGGGTTCAGGGTTCAAGCTTCAGGGTTTAGGGTTGAGGGATATGGGGGGTTAGTTAGGGTTTAGGATTACTTCTCGGAATTCTCCGGGTTCGGGGTGCTAGGGTTTGGGGTTCGAGCCGTGAAGTGGGCTGGTCAATTGAAGAAAGAACAACATGGAGGGTCTAGGTTTCAGGCATGAGCCCCCTAACATAGAGGCCTGAATACTTACCTATACCATTTTTTTTTTTTTGGGGGGGGGGGTTCCTTATTATATCTATAGTATACTACACCCCAAAAGTCGATTCTAATTGTTGAGGCCCCTATATATGAAACCCTAAACCCTAAACCCTAAACCCTAAACCCTAAACCCTAAACCCTAAACCCGAACTTCTGAACCCCAAAGTTACGTTCGCACAAAGACT